ACAGACAACGTAGAACAGATAAAATTGTGCTATATTTCTATAATGGAATATTACTCAACATCAAAAAGAATGAAATCTTGCCATTTGCAGCGACATGGATGGAACTAGAGGGTATTATGCTAAGCAAAGTAAGTCAGTCAGAGAAAGACAAATACTATATGATTTCACTCATATAAAAAACAAAACAAGTGAACATAGGGGAAGAGAAGGATAAATAAAATAAAAGAGGGAGGCAAACCATAAAAGACTCTAAGCATAGGGAACAAACCTAGGGTTGCTATAGGGGAGCTGGATGGGGGGATCAGGTAACTAGGTGATAGGCATTAAGGAGAACACCTGAAGTAAGGAGAACTGGGTGTTATATGCAACTGATGAATCCCTGAATTCTACCCCTGACACTAAAAATACAATATATGTCAATTAAATTGAATTTAAATAAAAACTTAAAAAAAAATCTGTGGTAGCCTTATGCAGGTTCCCTTATTGTAACAGGTTGCATCTTGTTGTTTTTAAGATTTTCTCCTTGTCTTTACCTTCTGATAAATTTATATTGTTATGTCCCTATATAAATCTCCTTGGATTCATTTTATTTGGCACTTTATAGCTTCCTGGATCTGGATGTCTGTTTCATTCCCTAACCTAGGCAAGTTTTCAGTCATTATTTTTTTGTTCCCTTTTCTCTTCTCCTTTCAGGATCTCTATAATATTTATATTCTCTGATTTGTCCCATAAGGTGCCCCATAAATCCCTTAAGCTCTCAGAACACTTTTTTTTATTCTTTATTTTTTCTCTTATGATTGGATGAATTCTACCGCCCTGTCTTTGAGTTTGCAGATCTGTTTTTTCCACTTCATCAACTCTGCTGTTGAGCCCCTCTATTAGATTTTTAGTTCAACTATTGTATTCTTCAGCCCTATGATTTCTGCTTGGTAATTTTTTATATTTTCTATCTCTTTGTTGAAATTATCACTTTGCATATGTGTTGTGCTCCTGACCTCAGTAAGTATCTCTATGATATTATTTTGAACTCTCTATAAAGCAAAGCACTTATTTACATTTTATTAAGATCTGTTTCTGGAGTTTCTTTTTCCTTTGTTTGGGACATATTCCTCTGGTTTTTAGTTTGTTTGTTTTTCATTTTCTTTGACTCTCTGTTAACTCCTGCATATTATATACAAAGAGCCATCTCTCCCCATCTTGACAGAATGATCTCATGTAGATGAGCCTTGTTGATCAGCCCAGCCCAGGTTCCTAGTTGTCTCTCAAACTTTTGTGATTGTCTGAGCCATCTTCTTTGTTTTTAGTGGCTCATAGTAGTTGAGCAAGTGCCAAGAGCTGACACTGCCCCAAAGGAGAGGATCACAATCAGCAACCAGATGCAGACTGATTAGAGCCCGGAAGCTCAGGCACCAGCGAGGAGTATATTGTTAAGCTCCTTCCAGGGAGAAACTGGGAAATGGGCATTTTAGCTTGCTTTCTCTGTGCTGGGCCTAGGTATGTATAGCCAGTTGGGAAGGAGAAGCTTCTGTGCTTGTTAAGGACTCTTTGTTTGCTATGGTACTGTAGTACTCGTGAGTACAGGTGCCATTGACTATTACAACCAGGTGATCCAGCAGCCTCAGGTCTCTGCTGCAAGCTAGGTACCAGATATGTGCACAAGCTCCATCCAGAGAGATCTTGGGGACTTGGTTTTATTATTGGAGTGAACCGGAAGAAGGTGTGAAATGTGTCTACTGGCTCCCCAGGACTGGAGAGATTGTAGTCAGCCTCTAGCTGCCTGCTAAATTAGAAGCCTGGCTGGCCCTCAGACAGTAACCTTTAAAGTTTCAGATATACCTCTTTGGGGACAGATTGGGACATAGATGATTTTGCCTCTCCCTCTGTGCTGAGGGGGCGGAGGAACAGTCATGATTAGTGCTCATGTGGCCATTACAATTGCTTCCTTTTTTATATAGAGTCTTATGTGTCTCATGGGCACAGCCTTCACAGCTAGGTGTTTGGAAGCCCATATCTCCTGGGAGTCTTAAAAGTTGGGACACTAGATGTGGGGTCCGAATCCTCCACTCTCAGGGAGAAGCTAGGGGCTGAGGATTCCCTCTCAATTGTGACACTATATCAGGGGATGAGGTTTATGGTAAGAACATGTCTCAGCCTTTCCCACATATTTTGGTGTGAATATTTTTTCATTCTCACAATATGTAAAGTCACTCAGCTAGTTTCTATACCTAATTCAGAGGGAACTGCTTGTGGGTGGCTGTATATTTGGGGTATGTGTGGGAGGAAGGGAGCTCAGGAGTCTCCCGTCACCATCTTGGTCAACTTCAAACTGAACTCCCAGTACCTTTCATTTATTTTTAGAGAAATCCTAAATTACATTTCCTGGAAGCTTTCCACTTTGTTAAAATATCTCCTAAAACAAAATGGCCTGAACAAAAACACAAAAACAAATTCTTCAATTGTGCTCCAACCAGTATGAAGAAATATGGTAATGTCACTCATAGTAATAAAACCCAAGTTTTCAAAACTTGGTAGTAGATGTCACGGATTTGATTTAAGTGAAAGCTGCCATCAGATAGCACTCGAAATCTCTTTCATATAAACTGCCAGCAGAATGGATCTCTTCCTTTCTGCATTTTGGTATTTCAGCTCTGTTGCTGCTGTTTTGTTGTTAATTTTAATGCAGGGACTTTATAATGATTTGTGTTGATTTCAGCCTACTCTAATACAGCAGATCCTATCATTTGGTGGATGAGCACTCATTTCCAGCACTGTCTTATCTAGACCTTTGACAAGCACAGCTTCTGTATCTTCCCTCAGAAGAGGATCAGTCAGAACAGAACCAACAACAGAGCCCCCATACTCATTGAACAATCCTGGAAATAGCCTCCACAAGGACAAAGAAGATATCTTTTTCATCACCAGTATATATCCAGAGCCTAGCACAGGATCTGGCACAAGGTACCCACTCAAAATAATGTGCTCATTCTGATCTAAGTTTGAAACATCTAACTTCTCATCCACTTCAAGCTTTAGCTCCCCCTTAACCATGTATGTTCTACCTTGTCCAGTCTGGAGAGGAATCTCTTTGATAGAGAATACAAAAACAAAATAGGGGTTCAAAAGCTCTGCTTTCTCCCCATATTTAGTTACATCTGTCCTAAGAATTGTGTTTCTTTCATGTTCAATTTCTCACATAAGAAATGCATTAGAAACAAATTATAATGAACTTTCTAAAGCTATGGGTACTTATTTTTGTTATTTAATTCCTGTGATTACTCCTATATTGTATCAAATAATTTTCTCACTACAGAAGAAGTTTAAACAGTTAATGATATAAGAAAGTGAGAAGAGCATGGGATTTGGGAACAGAAGGTTTAAGTTGAAGCCTGGGTTATTCTATTACATGGTCTGATTATCAACCTGTGATCTCAAATCAGTAATTTAACCTAAGTCATGGTTTCCTCATCTGCAAAATGAGAGTATGATTAATAGCTTTTAACATGGTAATATAGGAAATAAACATGAAAAAAATGGGAAGATTACATAAAGTAAAAGCTGTGTATATAAATATTATCACAAGTTTTTCTAGCTTTTGTTACTACCTCATATTCTGTATTTGCCTTTGTTTATTGTCTGCCTCTTACCACTAAAATATAAGCTCCAAAAGTTCTGCTTTTATAGATTTCATTCACTGCTTTATACACGGTGCCTTGAAAAGTACCTAACTGGTACATAGTAGATGCTAAAAACATTTGCTGACTTACTCAATAAGTAAACAAATTATCTCATTTTCAGAACTTTGCTAATAAAAGACAGCATATCATTTTTAACTTTGGATTCCACTGGTTTTATTGCCCCCCCCATTCTTCCTCCATTATCATAATGTTAGCATCTATCTGAGTGCTTACTTTGTCGTGGGAATTATAGCACCTCTTCATATTCCCTTGGAATGCACTGACCCTAATCCCTGCACATCTCTGAGCTTCCTGTACCACTTCCTGATGTTGGCCTAGTCGTTACAAAGCTGGATATCTCCCTTTGTATCTCTTCTCTAAATCTTAGTGCTGTCTCAAACCATAAGGGAGAAGAATCAGGGATTTAACAGTTTTTAGAGTTCCAGACATTATTTTATATTGATGGTAATTAATTCTTCTTTTGCTCCTAATACCACATATCTCAGTCCTGTGCAAAATGAAACACATAACCATGGATCTCAGCTGGTGGTAGGAATCTCTACCACCCTCTGATCTCCGGTTACCCATTAATAGTTTTACTGCAATTAGCACTTCCTATCTTGTGTTTATTTACATTCCTTGTCTCTCTCACTGGGTCATAAGTACTTACAGGTGAATGGGGCCATGAGTAAGGGGTTAACAAAAACCTCTCTCTTTGCCCATGCAAACTAACTTCAGGTCTACCTGAAAACCAGATAAAGCCGAATGTTATGCATGTTATCAGGTAGGTTGCTATGATTAAAATGACCTCTGATTAGCAAATTGTATCTGGATTGGAGAACTATGAATGATATATACAAGTTCCTAGTGTAGACCTAGATGCCTGCATGCAGTGTATCTTGAAACCAAGAGTTCCCTTTAGCAGACTTGGAATCTATACCTATAGAGCTGTGAAAAAGGATACTGGTTGGTTCCTCCACTGAGACTGAGGCTTCTCTGCAAGGATGGTTCCCATTCCCTAAAACCTGAACTGTCACTGGGGGTAGGGACTGCCCCTGGACTGCTGTGAGGATTCCTACTGATGCTGCTTTGCTAGTATGCTATGTTTCTCATTCCGTATTCTTCTGAAGGGCTATGGCCCAGAAACCGTAAGCATTTGAACTTGATTTAGTTATACCCCAAACCACCTGCAGCAGGCATTTCAAGGGCATAACACATCCAGGTTTTAACTGAACTAATCACTGCTGAGAATTTCCCCACCAAATGAAAAGGAGGTCCTAGTGTGAGCCAGAATCAAAACATCTCCCATCTCTGAAAAGTCCTTACCTGAATTGATAAGAGTGTATCATAAGTTTCTTTCTTTATATTTTTCATGTGGACAGTGGAAAGTACTGTGGAGGAAAAGGAGACACTGTGTATGAGGTCCTCCTACAAGCACTGTTGAGCAGAGAGAGACTATACTCCCAGACAGAGGATGAAGATGTGGGCCTCCACAACTTCTGCACATACACCTCAGAGGGAGTTCTCATTAACACTTTATTGATTGCGGTTAATAATAAAGATATATTCCTGCATGTGGGCCCATACCTGCTCCATACAAAGTGTTTTCACGTACATTCCTTCATTTAGCTTTACGATGAATGACCCAGACAACAGGACTGGCTAAAATAAATTACATTATGATGATGAATAAACTAAAGTCAAATGAAAAAACTCAGCCCAGAGAGATGAATAGCCTAAGACCTAAAACTTGACTATAGATCTCCTGACTTCTAATTCAGAATGCTCTCCTGCCTCTCCTACAAGATGAAGGATGCCAAAAGATGGGAGAAAGGCCAACAGAAGAAGACATGCCTGACAGGCTGTTTGTGTGAAAGAACTGCAGATAGTGGTGTTCTCTGGTTCAATATGTCTGCACATCATCTTTTTCCATTTTCTTAAGTGTCAATCCATATTCCCTCCTTATAATTCTATTCCATGTTTCCCTAATACGTTTATTCCCCAAACTTATTAATCCCCTGAGCTTGGGGTCTTGGTCCATGACAGTACTATTTCTCTGACACTGCCTCCACTTCCTGTTGTTCAGTCATAGACATTTGGCAATGACAAAGATAGCCTTTACTCGGGTCCCAGCCAGGCCCCACTCTGGCCACTAAGGACTGAAAAGGATCGAACAAGGGTTCTGCACTGTTGGTTCTGTAAGTAACGGCTGGTGGGGTAGTAGGGTAAGAACTTGTTCCTTAACTCACCCCACCACTTTCTCTTAAAAACTATGGGGCCTTGGGCTTAGTTGGTTAAGCATCTGACTTCAGCCCAGGTTGTGATCTCAGGGTCCCAGGGATCAGGCCCCATAGTCAGGCTCCATGCTCAGTGGGGAATCTGCTTCTCCTTCCCCCTTTTCTTTTGCCCTTCCCCCAACTTGTGGGCTTGCATGTTCTCATGCTCGCTCTCTCTCTCTCAAATAAATAAAATCTTTAAAAAGAAAACTATGGGGAGAAATAAAGCATCCATTGGAAATGGGAGAAATAAAGCATCAGAAGGACTGCTGTTCTGTTTCAGACTTCACTAGTACAGGAATAAAATTAAAGAGAAATTGTACCCCGTTTTAAGTGGCCTCTTGTCAGTTCATCTCCATTATCAGCGGTCATAAGCAGCACCTTGATTCCTCTTGTGATCAGAGCCTGTGGAGAAATTTAGTAAGGTAAATGAACTGTCCCTTATCCCATGGAATGGCTTCTCTCTAGAAAAAACTGATGGTGATAAAAGTACTGGAATGAAGCTGAGGAATGGAGAACAAGCCTAATTCCTTCATCCAACTTCTTGTAAGTTAGTAAATTAGAGCCAAAAAAACATCATCCCTGCCTCAGCCACACTCAGAAAGGCCAAACTGACAATTAAAATATCGGACCTAAAGTAAGAGGCAGTGAGACTATTTTCTATTTTTTTTCCTCATTAAACTTTTGTTTTAATGGGTCTTAAAATTCTGTGGCAGATTTTTGGTCAAGTTGTTTCCATTAAAAAGTACTGATTTTAAAAACTAATAACTTAAAACTGCCACACACACACAAAACAAATGGTCACAAAACAGTCTCCTTTCCTTCTGAAGGTTTTATGATGCATTGTTATCATTTAGCAGTCTTTTACTATTAAACTTAAATGGCCAATTGACACAAACAGTTCTGAGACTGTTCTTCCACCACTGATTAAGAATGGGGTGGCAGGTGTTGGGGATAATATTCATTTAGGCTTCTGAGCTTTCTGGGCAGACTTGGTGACCTTGCCAGCTCCAGCTGCCTTCTTGTCCACTGCTTTGATGACACCCACAGCAACCGTCTGTCTCATGTCACGAACAGCAAAACGGCCCAGAGGAGGATAGTCAGAGAAGCTCTCAACACACGTAGGCTTGCCAGGAACCATATCAACAATGGCAGCGTCTCCAGATTTCAAGAACTTGGGACCATCTTCCAGCTTTTTTCCAGAACAACGATCTGTCTTCTCCTTCAGCTCAGCAAACTTGCAAGTAATGTGAGCTGTGTGACAATCCAGCACAGGAGCATATCCAGCACTAATTTGGCCTGGATGGTTCAGGATAATCACCTGAGCTGTGAAGCCAGCTGGTTCCATTGGTGGGTCATTTTTGCTGTCACCAGCCACATTGCCACGACGAACATCTTTGACAGATACGTTCTTGACATTGAAGCCCACATTGTCCCCAGGAAGAGCCTCACTCAAAGCTTCATGGTGCATTTCAACAGACTTGACTTCAGTGTAATATTGAATGGAGCAAAGGTGACCACCAGTCTCCACTCGGCCCACAGGGACAGTACCAATACCACCAATTTTGTAGACGTCCTGCAGAGGCAGACGCAAGGGCTTGTCAGTTGGACGAGTTGGTGGCAGAATGCAATCCAGAGCTTCAAGCAGTGTGGTTCCACTGGCATTCCCATCTTTACGGGTGACTTTCCATCCCTTGAACCAAGGAATGTTAGCACTTGGCTCCAGCATGTTGTCACCATTCCAACCAGGAATTGGCACAAATGCTACTGTGTCAGGGTTGTAGCCAATTTTCTTAATGTAGGTGCTGACTTCCTTAACGATTTCCTCGTATCTCTTCTGGCTGTAGGGTGGCTCAGTGGAATCCATTTTGTTAACACCAACAATTAGTTGTTTTACACCCAGTGTGTAAGCCAGAAGGGCATGCTCACGGGTCTGCCCGTTCTTGGAGATACCGGCTTCAAATTCACCAACACCAGCAGCAACAATCAGGACAGCACAGTCAGCCTGAGATGTGCCTGTAATCATGTTTTTGATAAAGTCTCTGTGTCCTGGAGCATCAGTGATGGTCACATAATACTTGCTGGTCTCGAATTTCCACAGGGAGGTATCAATGGCGATACCACGTTCACGTTCAGCTTTCAGTTTATCCAAGACCCAGGCATACTTGAAGGAGCCTTTTCCCATCTCAGCAGCCTCCCTCTCGAATTTTTCGATAGTTCTTTTGTCGATCCCACCACATTTGTAGATCAGATGACCAGTAGTGGTAGACTTGCCCGAATCTACGCGTCCGATGACAACAATGTTGATATGAGTCTTTTCCTTCCCCGTTCTGGCTTAGGTTGAGCGGTGGTTTTCACGACACCTGTGTTCTGGTGGCAAACCCGTTGCGAAAAAGCCGGTGAGACTATTTTCATTCACCTTAATACAGTGCTTTCACCTAAGGACTTGAATCCCAGATTTTGTCTAGTGCATCAGAGAGCTTAAGACAAACTTCTTCTCCATACTCCTATGCAAATTAGCTACATGCCCGGGACCCAGCTCACAGGGTGGATTAGGAAACACACACACAACTGCTGGTTTTCCTCTGGTCAATGGCATGCAGAGGTAAATTTTTGTTTAGTCAATCTATGGTTGCACTTGTCGCTGCCTGAGACTTTAATGTCTCTACTTCAACTAGAAATAAATCCAAGAGAGTCTAAATCAAAGAGAGAGAGAAGAGGCTAAGAAATTTATCTATTTGAAAAATCAAATACTGAGACTATGGCCATGAATACTGAGAAAAGCCAAAGGTATGTCTTCCTGGGCCTGTAGATCATAATATTCTGAAGGTGACACTATTCCTGCAATTATCCTTATTGGGAATGAGAAGGTGGTTTGCTTCTCCTGAACTCTTCTGAAAAACAGGGAGGGCTGAGAGGTGAACAGAATGAGTGAGAGGAGATAGCATGTCATATATTAATTACAGCCAAACTTCTACTACCATAGGTCCTATTAGATGCAATGTTTCCCACTTTTAGGCCCAGCAAGCAATATGGCAAATTGGTGGAGGACCATATAACTTTTCATCTAAACTAGAACACTTGGTAAAGAAAAGGGTGCTAACTGGGATTCATGGACCACTACTCATAGGGATAGCAATAGGTTCCACTTCTAGACACAGTGGGCTATTTTGTTTCAGACTAACCATCCTGCTAATAACAACTAGATGAGCTGGACAAAAAAATTTTAATTTATTTGAAAATACTAGACATATGCCAAGGAAGGACTTGAGGAGTCACGTTTTCAGAGAGGCAGGCAGCCAAGAGAGGTGAAACTAGCATGTTTTAAACTTTTTCCTTCAGACATTGATTCCCCAAGCATCAGTTGAGAGGCTAAAAAGCTGATTAGATTCCCCAGCATTTTATGGGACGTTGGGAAAGAAATTGCAGTTTATAGACTTCCAAAATAGAAGAGGGGCCTTAACAATTCTAGGCTTTTAGCTGGGATGCAAAGGGTTATCTATCCCCTAGGAGAGAAGGTGAACAAGAATTAGACTTACTCTCATAAGAATTAAAGCCCAGCTCCAAATCATTTGTTACCTTCTAGAAGCAAAAACAAATCCATCTGAAGAGCTTCAAATGATCTTAGTCATGTTTTCATAAATAAATTGGATTGAAAAATTATTAGGCATACCAAAAGATATTATTTACTGAAAACATGAGAAAAACAGACAACGGAACAGATACATAGGAAATTAGACATTAGGTTTCTTAAACACAGCTTTGAAATAATTATAATTAATATGTTCAAAGAATCTTTTAAAAATGGACAATTTTGGCCAAAAAAAGGAAACCACAGAAAAGAATCAAATGAAAATTCTAGAACTAAAAATCACTATATGTGAAATTAAGAACTAAGTTTAACATCAATTTAGACAAAGCTGCAGAGAAAATTCATAAATCGCAAGATATCTTAGAAAAAAGTAATCCAGAAAAGAGCAAAACAAATATGATGAAAATATCTAGTTTTGTATAACAGAAGTCCTAGAGGAAAGGAGAGAAAAAAATTAAGCTGACAGTTGGTGGAGATTTTCCAAAACCAATTAAAGATTTCAAGCCACATAATGAAGGGTGCAAACAAATGTAAGCAGAGTAAAAACAAAAATCACACCTAGCAAAATCTTAGTAAAGTTGAGGAAAACCAAAAAATAAATCTTAAAAGAAGCCAGAAGAAAAATACATTTTACCTTCAATGAAACCATAATTTTAACAATACCTAACTTCTTAATAAAAAAATTATACCCCAGAGAATCATCAAAGAAAATAATTGCCAGTCTAGAATTCTACATACAGTACGAATATCCTTCAAAATGGATGATGAGCTATGCACATTTTCAGGCAAACAAAAGGTGAGAGAATTTGTTAATAGCATACCTGCTACAAAGAAAATACAAATAGGTATTCTTTAGGCAGAGGAAATGATAAGAGAGATAAAGCTCAGAGATGCAGAGAGGAGATAAGAGCAACAAAAAAGTAAATTAGGCACATAAATCTAAATTATTCCATGTAATAATAAAAATAATATCTTGTGGACATAAAATATATTTAGCACTAAAAGAAATAACAATAGTACCGAGGAAAGAAAGGAGGAAAATGCAATTAAACTTAATTTGTCTAGGAACCAGCAAACACACTAATTTATATTAGACATTAATATTTCTAGGATAAATAGTAGTCTAGGATAAATAGTAGTCTAGGATAAATAGTAGTCTCTATGGCCAATACTAAAAGAAAAGTGAAAAGTGTTTAACAAGCTAATACAGGAAAAAATGGAATAAAAAAAAAATAGTCAATCCAAAAGGAGAAAAAAAAAAAAAAAAAGAAGAGAAAAGACCATAGGATAGGTAGGGCAAATAGAAAGAAAGTTAACAAGATGGTAGATTTAAATGCAACTGTCAATGGGGCGCCTGGGTGGCTCAGTGGGCTAAAGCCTCTGCCTTTGGCTCAGGTCATGATCCTGGGGTCCTGGGATTGAGCCCCGCATCCAGCTCTCTGCTCAGCATCCAGCTCTCTGCTCAGCAGGGAGCCTGCTTCCTCCTCCCTGCCTCTCTGCCTACGTGTGGTCTCTGTCTGTCAAATAAATAAATAAAATCTTTAAAATAAATAAATAAATAAATAACTGCAACTGTCAGTGATTATATTAAATTTAAGTTAGCCAAATAACTCACTTAAAAGATAAGAATTTTCATAATGAAGTAACAAAAACAAATTCTAATCATATACTGCTTATAAGATATGTTCCTTAAGCATATGAATCCAGAATAATTGAAAGTAAGAGGATAGAAAAGTATGTATTATACAAACACCAACCAAAAGAGAGCTATGATGTTCACAGAAAAGAAAAATATTTTAACATTAGTCTGCCTTACTTGAGAGTTATATAGGTAGTTTCTTTTCTCCTCTTAGGATGTAAATGTATGAAAAAATTAAATTGGACCTTATTCATCTTTATATTCCATGGTATCATGCAAGCTATAGCTACTCAAGATATGTTTGCTCTACAAACTAACAAAATGAGGAAAGAAATATGTAAACATGGAGGAAATTGAAAGGAGCACTTACCTTTTTAATATACGACATGTAACGATTATCCCGATGATATGAACCATATTCATTCTCAACCTGCACAGCAATGATGGGGCCTCCCTTTCCATACTGAGGGTCAAGGAGATGAGAGTTTGAGAGTAAAGTTACTGTGGGAAAGGCTAGATTTTCTCAATTTTGCTGTTGCACACACATACTTAGAGTGCCATAAAAATAACACATTCCTAAACTAAACTCCAAGTTACACTATAGTTCAGGCAATTTCTCTCACTCCACAGTCAGCAGTCAACTGCTCCTAGAATCCTACCTTTTCTAGTACTTCCTATTAATGGACTCCCACCCTTTTCCCTCTTAATTCAATGCATTAAGCATGATGCTTCACACCTCCACTTCCATCCTTTCTATCTTAGCACCAGTTAAATGAGTCAAATGTCTCTCATCCTCCTTACTTCTCAAGAACTTCACTCTTTTTGGACTACCGTTCTGTCTTCTATATCATCATCTCCCTTTTTACTAAACCTTCCCCATTATCATTTAAATTGACTCAAAGTCCTCTGTTAAAAATAACTTGCCTGGACCACTTCCCCCTCCAGTGCCCACTATCTTGCCCTCTTCATCTTCATGGACAAACTCTGAAATATTCCTGAACTAACACTTGACTTCTTATTCTCTCATTTACTCATTTACTCTTTTACTCATTCCCATTCTTTCCATTCCACCTACGTTATTAACATTACCTTCTCTTTGCTAAGTTCAAACAATAAATTTTAATTCAAATTTACTATCTCTCTGAGCAACATTTGGCATCCTTGGCTACCTTCTCCTTCTTGAAACCTCTCATCTGTGGTCTCCTATTGCTCTCTCCTAGTTTCTGGCCTGCCTCTGGTCTGGTCACTACACTTCAGTTTCTTCTGTGAGCTCCTCTTGCCCTACTCACCTCTTAAGGAATGTTGATGTTTCTCATGGTTCTTTATTAATCCCAACTTTGTGCTAGGTCACATCCCTTCTGTTCTTGTAATTATGCCCTCTTGCAAATATCTTCACATTTCCCATCCCTACTCACTCTTGTCTGTTGATGGTAACATATTCAGTCATCCCCTATCTTTATAGTTCTCACCAGTCTAGCCAATATATTTCCTCTTCATATCTTGCACCTGTCACACCTTAGTTGAGGTTTATCATGCCCACTTCAGCATCTCCTCAACCTACTCTCAGAGATACATGGGGAAGCATGAGATACTCCTCCCAGCATAGAAAAAGAGAAATAGTGTTGATTTCTAAGGATTAAACTCCACACCAACCACACAAGTAAGAGTCTGGACAACACCCAGCACCATGTATAAGTGTCATGGAAGTGTTTGCACATCAAAACCTGTGTTCGTCATGGTTCAGGAGCAACTGGGTGGAAAGAGTTGAAATGGGAGAATCATTAGCAAGCAAGGAATGACTGCATTATATCCTGATAGGGAAAAAAGAGGACAAAAGGCCCACGAGAGTGTTTCTCAAACCTTTAAATGTCATCCTCTGCTGACAAACATTGAAAAATGTAAATGTCATCCTCTGCTGATGAACACTGAAAAACTTTTTCAAAACCTGCTTCTCTCTTCCCCTTTCCCATCTATCCAATTATGAATCTAGCAGGTTAGAGAATAGATAAAGAAAGAGGGAAGATCCAGAAATTGACAGTACCTGTATTAGCAAGAGATCCAGAACCAGATCAATACAACTGGAAGTTCTGAAAGGCAGCTACTCATTGCAAGTGTTGATTTATAACACCATGATAAAATGCTTTTGAGGCCTCCAAACTGCCTCAGACCCTGATTTTGTGTTAACTAAGCAAGGTTCTGATTATTAATTTAGTTTTCCAGGAGTTGCAAGACTGAGAAGTCTGATTTGGGGTGGGCTAGTACAATGCTGTCCTGCAGAACTTTCTGATAATGAATATATTCTGTGTTTGCATTGCTCAATATGGTAGGTATCCACACATGCCTACTGAGCACTAAAAATGTGTCTAGCGTAAAGGAAGAAATTATTTTTAAATTTTATTTGATTTTAATTAAATCAAATTAAAGCATATATATAGCTCCTATACTGGATAGCATAGCTCTAATCTTTTTGAAGGATTATCTCCACATTCCCCAAATGGCACACAGATTCTCTTCAGTCACTTAGTAGTTTTAATAGCTTTCCTGAGTCTGATCAACTGAGATACTCACAGTGTTAAGAACCAACTCTCCATAGTAAATTCAGATTCACATTATGTAAGCCCTTTCCTACCCACATACAAGTTTGCCATTTCCTCCATTTAATCTATGATAACATCTCCTTCAAATGATTACTGTGGCAGTGAAATATGCTAGGTAATTGTTGATTGCCTCACAGAAATCTTGATGCCTAATAGATGTTAAATTTTTGTTCCCTCCCTTTGTTCATTTTCTATCTGGTTTATAGTCCTTTTTTTTTTGTTTGTTTTCCAGCCATTTTAGAAATATAGTACCACTAAACAATGATTACATTTGGCATCATGACTTTATTGTGGTGGAGGGATGTTAAAAAACAAATAAATTGCAACTTTTACAAAATCACTGACGTAAGGTCACCCATCTAATCTATTATGTGTGAAGCCGTTACCTTTAGAAGCCAAATTTAGACATTTTGAGGACTACCATTAATTTCCCATTTATGGTGACTGAGGGCAAAGATACAATGGAAAAGAGAAAACAAAAATATATAGAGTCCAGTTTCAAGTCCACTGCCAGAGAAAAGGCTTCCAGTTGGCAGCAGATAGGAAACAGGCAGAAAAGCAAGGTAATAAAAACCTGGTATTTCTTAAATAAGGAATTGGAACGAACTGCTATATACACTTCCTGCTTCCATGTGATAGAAAATAGGCTAACACTTATCCAGGAAATCAGCTGCAGCAATTACTTCCCTTGGTCATAAGAATGGTGAATTTGGATTTACCTGGAGTTGTACTACCATGGGAATTATCTTATCAAAATAGTGATTCACTGCTTTAGTGAAGCCCCTGTAAGTTGTTCGCAGTTTCATTTTTGGATCCCGGAGTAACCAGCTAGGATTGAAAAGATAAGAATTACTCTTGCGGTAGGAAACAGGAATAAGAAATGCTCAAGCATGAGGCTGGAAAACAAGGACAGCCACACTAGAACAGTATATTGTCAGATCTTAATCCATCTTTAAAAAAGCAATCTGCAGGGGCGCCTGGGTGGCTCAGTGGGTTAAGCCGCTGCCTTCGGCTCAGGTCATGATCTCGGAGTCCTGGGATCGAGCCCCGCATCGGGCTCTCTGCTCGGCGGGGAGCCTGCTTCCTCCTCTCTCTCTGCCTGCCTCTCTGCCTGCTTGTGATCTCTCTGTCAAATAAATAAATAAAATCTTTAAAAAAAAAAAAAAGCAATCTGCATTCTAGCTGCAAATAGCTCAGCACCTTAACCACATCAGAGTTGTGTACTGATGAAATGATCCAGAGCCCCGTCATCAAACTGCAGCCCACAGGCCAAATCAGAGTCAATGTCTGTTTCTATAAATAAAGTTTTATTGGAACACAGACAGACCCATTTGTTTACATGTTGTCACAGCTGTGTTCATGCTACAGGAGCAGGATTGAGTAGTCATAACAGACTATGTATGTGGCTCTCAAAACAGAAAGTATTTATTATCCGGCCTTTTACAGAAAAGTTTTACAAACCCCTAGTCTGGAGTGAGACTTCTGTAAAGTTGTTTCAAATTTTTTAAAAAATGCTTTGATGGAATATTATTTAGCCATAAAAGGGGAATGAAGAACTGTATCTGCTATAACACAGGTGAACCTTGAGAACATTATGCTAAGCAAAGAAGCCAGTTACAAAAGGTCACATATTCTCTAATTCAATTTATATGAAATATACAGAACAGGCAAATTGACAGGGTCTGAAAGCAAACTGGTGGTTGCTGGGGGCTGGGGGAAGAAATAATGGGAGGTGACTGGACATAGGGCTTCCTTTTCAGGTGACAAAGAAATCTGGCACTAGACAGTGGTGATGGTTGTTCAACATTTTTGATGTAGTTAATTGTCATAAAACTGTACACTTTCAAATGGTAAATTTTTATGTTATGTGTATTTTACTACAATAAAAAATGATTGGAAGTTACCAAGAGGGAATACCCCTCTTTAAAAAGAGATAATTGACCCAATTTCTTACTACTTGTACCTCCATCACAAAAACTAGAACTTATAAAAGTATTGCTTACGTGGCAGCCACTAGTTTTTACTAAAATAAAAAAAAAAGTGCTCTATCTTGTTTACACTGCAGAATTGTGATGGAAGTTTATATAAAAAAACACATACTACATAAATCCCAATAAATCGAAGTTCATTTTCTATGTCATTAAATGGGAAAATAGTATAGGTTAAAAATGTACACAGAAAATCAGCAAAACCCTTTGCTCTAACTTGCATTTGTATGTACTAGGGGTACTAGGGGCCCATATGGAGTCATGGTCAGGGGCCTCAGAGAGCAACTTACCTGGGTAAGCCTCCAAGGTCTAAGTCGCTACCGATATAAGGGCCTGGACATAGAATTACCCACAGCTCTGCCTCCGAAGCCATGGCTATAAAAGTCCTGGGAAGCGAAGCAATAAGGATCACTTATTACTATTATTCAGGCTGAGACTGGAATCACTGAGTTCTCTTCTGAGGTTAGAATGGGTGGAACTCCCAGCCTGGTCTACAAAAGTCCTTATAGGTGGCATGAACCAGAGAGACATGGAGCCCTACACTCACTAACAAAGGGGCTCATTCATGTTGCTAGAAAACAAGTCCAGAAGCCTACTCCTCCCCATGCAACTGCCCTCACCATGCAAGAAAGCCATGCTAAGGCAGATTCTTACAAACCTCGTTCCTCCTTCTTCTATGTCTCCTACTTTCAGTCAGTCACCAAATCATGTTTATTCCTCCTACTTAATGTTTTCAAATATGAAACTCCTCTTAATTTCTAGTACCACCACATTTATTAAAGAACTCATTATTTCACACCTGAGTTATGACAGTGGTTTTCTGACTGCTTTCCTTCCTTCTTCTTACCTTCTTCCAGTGCTTCTCCAGTCCCATCAATAATCATCATTAACAACAAAAATAGGAGTTAATTTTTACCTTGCATCAGCATCTGGCACTATAGCCTTCTTTAAGACTATTATTTTATTTCACAGTTCAGTGAAATAAGTATCAATATCATCTCCATTTTACAATGAAATAAAAAGCTTAAATAAAGCTTGAAATAAAAGCTTAAATAAGTCGGAGCTTCCTAAAGGTCATATTCTCAGTAAATGGAAGAACTAAAAGTACAATCAGACAGAGAGCTTCCAGAAATGAAATATCAACTACCATATTATTCTGTCTCTTTAAAATACTGCTGGCACAATCTTTCTAAATGTACATACAAACTTTCCAAATTAAAATTCTTCAAATGACTCCCAATGACTTCAGAAAAGATTCCAAATGGTGAAGCATAGTAAATATAAAGGCAAGCTGTGTTCTACTATCTACTACTATCTATTCAGTTTCATTTTGGGCATTCTCTCTAGTTAAACTAATAGGAGAACCAGAAAGCATTATTTGCTGTTCCCAGAAAATAGAATGTATGGCAGAAAGTTAATCGCCAAAGCCATTCCCTTTTCTTCCTGGGCACACAGCTCAACTACATATCCCAGCCTCCCATGCATTGAGGTGGTGTTGCTATGTGACTGACTTCAAGCCAACAGAATGCGAACACAAGCAATGTGTTCTGATTTCCTAAAAAGATTCTCCCGGGGCGCCTGGGTGGCTCAGTGGGTTAAGCTGCTGCCTTCGGCTCAGGTCATGATCTCAGGGTCCTGGGATCAAGTCCCACATCGGGCTCTCGGCTCAGCAGGGAGCCTGCTTCCCTCTCTCTCTGTCTGCTTCTCTGTCTACTTGTGATCTCTCTCTGTCAAATAAATAAATAAAATCTTTAAAAAAAAAAAAAAAGATTCTCCCTTCTCTCTCTTCCACCGCTGACTTGATGCAGATAAGTGTAGCAGCCTGGAAGCTATATGAAGAAGATGGTGAAGTCACATATAGAAAGATCCTGAATCTTTCAATTATTTCTTGGAAAAGAGACATAATGCTTACCAGGAATACCTATTTTAGATTTTACTTAAATGAAAATAAATCTTTATTGTTAGACATTGAAGCTTACTGTTACAGCAGCTAACATCACCTTAATTAACTTAAAAATGTTCTCTCACATCTCTAACTTTGCTGGACCCTCTTCCTAAAATTCCACTCAGTCCCCTCTAGCAATCTCCTACTCAACATTTTAATTACTTCAGCTATAACTTCATTTTTACCTTTCCTGATCTGTTCCCATAAATTGGGTTGTGTGGTTTTAGTATAATATTTGTCTCCTTCTCTATAGAGAATCCTTAGTCTTGACAGTACAAAGAGTATTATCTGTCTATCCCTGCACCAAAGACAATGTCTAAACTCTAGCAGATAGCTAATACATATTTTTGAATAAACAATTATAGATCTTCCTGAAGATTTGCTATGTGTATTTTACTACTATTGGGTTGCTTCCTAACAAACCCATCATCAGTTGAAAATACTGTAAGTTAAAAAAAAATGCATTTAATACACCTAACCTGCTGAATATCATAGCTTAGTTTAACTTACTCTACAATGTGCTCAGAACATTTACATTAGCCTACAGCTAGGCAAAATCATCTAACACAAAGCCTTCTTAAGTGCTGAATATCTCCTGTAATTTATTGACTACTATACTCAAAATGAAAAAACAGAATGGTTGTATAGGTACAGAATGGTTGTAAGTATATCACTGTCTACCCTCATGATTGCAAGGCTGACTGGGAATTATAGTTAGCCGCTGCTGTTCAGTATCATAAAAGTGTATAGTACAACATATTGTTAGCCTGAAAAAAGACCAAACTTCAAAATTTGAAGTACAGTTTCTACTAAATGCATATCATTTTCATACCATCATAAAGTCAAAACATTGTAAGTCAGTGACCATGTATACTCTGTGCTATACCCTAGAAATCTTGTAAACTATAGTCCAGAAATATCCTCTTATAACTGAGACAGCAGGTTCTTCATAAAAGATTAAAACTGTAGCACTTAAGATGCAGACTTTCTAAACCACACTGTAAATAAAATACACCAAAAACACTAAGCTCTACACTCTATTGCAAATAACAGATTCACTGCTCAAGAGGGCTTCAAACCAGGGAACAGAATTATCAGAGCTTCCTAATGATTTCCCAAACAGAAAGTAAGGTGCATTTGTTCATCTGATCCCAGAGTCTAACCCCTGTCTTCAATCCATAGAAAGAAGCAACCACAGCACTAAGACATACATGAAATCCAGGTTTGCAGTAAGATAAAACCAGCCTTTTCTTGGCTCGTGAAGGTTCCAGGGAATATGCCTGCAGTGGAAAAAAGAGAAATATAAAAATATTTTACCTTATTTGACCTTATTCCATATTGATTCCTCCAGTTTTAATATAGCACCTGGGCTATCTCTACTGTGAAGGAAATTGAAGATTTCAATAGCCAAGACTCTGTGCGTGAGTGAACTTTGTATTAGCTTAAAAATTTACTCCTTCAGGGGAGCCTGTGTGGTTCAGTCATTAAACATCTGCCTTCTGCTCAGGTCATGATCCCAGGGTCCTGGGATGAGCCCCACATTAAGCCCTGTATGGAGCCCCCTGCTCGGCAGGAAGCCTGCTTCTCCTCTTCCACTCCCCCTTGTGTTCCCTCTCTCGCCATGTCTCTCTCTGTTAAATAAATAAACAAAATCTTAAAAAAAAATTTCATCCTTCAAATCCCCAGTGCAGATCCAAGCAGCCAATATTGTTCCTTGATGCTGAACTTCAGGTAGATAAATATATATGTAACACCCTCTGGGGTTGAACCACAAATTTCCTTTTTAATACTAATGAAAATATATGAAAATTTAAATCCATATCTATAATGGCAAAAAAGAAAAACCATTAACCATAAAACAGAAACCAGCAAGAGCTGAAAAGTTTATAGAACTTTTGAATGAATAAAATGAAATCCAGCAAACAATACAAGATTCACAATACTTGGGATACATTAAGAAAATTACTAGGCATGCAAAATCAGAAAAATGTGACACAAAGCAGAAAAAAAAAATCAAGCAATGGAAACAATCCCAGAAAGGACATATAGGATGAAAGTAGCAGAAAAATAAAATACTAAAAAGGTATAACAAATATGTACCATATCTTTAATAAGTAATGGAATGCATAACCATGATAAGGAGAAAAATAGAAGATACTAAAAAGACTCACATGGAACTTCTAAATTTTAAAAAATAGCATCTGCAATAAAAAATACTTGATATATTAATAGCAGAAATTAAAAACATATTGGCTGAGACTAATAACAGAGTACATACAACAGAATAAATGGTCAGAACAAAAGAAACTATCCAAAACGGAAAGTAGAAAAAAGGAAGACTAAAAATAAAAATGAAAACAGGATCAGTGAGCTATGCTTTCTCACCAAGAAGTCTACCATACATGGAATTGGACTCCGGGGAATAAAAGGGGGATGCAAAAATAGTAGTTGAAATAGAGCCACAATTTTACCATTTAATGAAATCTATAAACCTACATGATTCAAGAATTTCAGTGAACTACAAGCAGAATTTAGAAAAAAAAAAAACCTACACCCGAGCACATTAGAATCAAATTGTTAAAAACCATGGGGCACCTGGGTGGCTCAGTGGGTTAAAGCCACTGCCTTCAGCTCAGGTCATGATCCCAGGGTCCTGGGATCGAGCCCCGCATCAGGCTCTCTGCTCAGCGGGGAGCCTGCCTCCCCTTCTCTCTCTCTCTGCCTGCCTCCCCTTCTCTCTCTCTCCCTACTTGTGATCTCTGTCTGTCGAATAAATAAATAAAATCTTTTTAAAAAATTGTTAAAAAACAAAGAAAGAGAGAAAATCTTAAAAGCAAACAAAGGGGGGGGGTGTGATAAGAAGTAGATTTGTCATCAGATAATGTGCAGGTCAGGAGAAAATGAAGAAACATTTTAAGATACTGAAATTAAAAAACGAAAACAAAATTAAACCATGTCAACCTAGAATTCTACCTATACTCAGTGAAATTATCCCTCAAAATAGAAGATGAAAAAATCAACTTTCAAAAAAACAAAAGCTAAAAGAATTCATTACTAACAGACTTCCACTACAAGAAATGTCAAAGGAAGTCCTCCCACAGAAGGAAATACCACATGGAAATTATAATCTATACAAAGGACTTGAAGAGCACTAAAAATGGTAAATATGTGGTAAATAAAAAAGATATTTTATCACTTTAAATTCCTTTCAAATATAACTAGATGTTCAAAGCAAATAAATAATAATGTATCATGAAATCTGTAGCTCATAACAAACAAAGCCTATGACACAATATAGTACAAAGGATAAGAAGAGTTAAATGGAAGTATGAATTTTAAGACTCTATAGTGATAGCTTTATATATTCAAAAAAAAGAGAGCAAATTAGGAATTTAATTTAAGAATTTAGATATAGAACTTTACATAAAAAACTTTGGAAATGAATCCAGGATCCTTAAAAAATGATTTAATTTAATACCACACTTTCAACAACAGGTAGATCATCCAGACATAAAACCAATAAGGAAACACTGGACTTGAACGACACATTAGACCAGATGAGCCTATTTGACAAATATAGAACACTCTATCCAATAGCAGCAGAGAACACACATTCTTCTCTAGGATAGATCACATATTAGGCCATAAAGCAAGCCTTAATAAATTCAAGAAGAATGAAATCATACCAAGCATCTTTTCTGCCACAATAGTCTGAAAATAGAAATAAATTTTGAGAAAAAAACTGGAAAATTCACAAATATGTAGAAATTAAGCAACATAATTACATGGAAAGATAGGGGCGCCTGGGTGGCTCTGTGGGTTAAGCCGCTGCCTTAGGCTCGGGTCATGATCTCAGGGTCCTGGGATCGAGCCCCTCCTTGGGCTTTCTACTCAGCAAGGAGTCTGCTTCCCTATCTCTCTCTCTGCCTGCCTCTCTGCTTACTTGTGATCTCTTTGTCAAATAAATAAATAATATCTTCAAAAAAAAAATAAATGGAAAGATTCCATACTCTAGGATTGGAAGAATTAATATTGTTAAAATGCCCATACCAACCAAAAGAATCTACAGATTCAGTGCAATCTCTATCAAAGCTACAACAGCTTTTTTCACAGAAATTAAAAAAAAAACAAAAACTAAAATTTGTATGAAACTACAAAAGACACTGAATAGCCAAAGTAATCTTGAGAAAGAACAAAGCTGGAGGCATCACAATTCCCGATGTCAAGTTATATTATAAAGCTGTAGTAATCACAACAGTATAGAATTGGCATAAAAACAGACATATAGGTCAATGAAACAGTATAGAGAGCCCAGAAATAAACCCATGCCCATATAGTCAATTAATTTATGACAAAACAGTCAATAATATACAATGAGGTAAGAAGAGTCTCTGTAACAAATGGTGTTGGGAAAGCTAGACAGCCATATGCAAATGAATGAACTAGCCTTCTATCTCACACCACACAAAAACTAACTCAAAATAGATTACAGACCTAAATGTTTAGAAGTGCTGGGAAAAAACAAGGGTAAGCTCCTTGACATCAATCTTGGCAATGATTTTTTGAATTTGACTCCAAAAGCCTAGGTAATAAAAACAAAAATAAACAAGACGGACTACTTCAAACTAAAAGGTCTACACAGTTATAGAAACCAGCAACAGGGTGAAAGGCAACCTAAGGAATGGAAGAATATATTTACAAACCTGCAAATCTAATGAAATTTGCAAAAGCTGATTAGAGGTTAACATCCAAAATATACAAGAAACCCACAAAACTCAAGAGCAAAAAACAAATAATCCAATTAAAAAATGGGCAAAGAACCTGTATAAGCATTTTTTCCAAAGAAGATGTATAAATGTACAACATGTACATGAAAGGATATTCAACATCCCCAATCATTAGAAAAATGCAAATCAAAACCACAATGAGATATTACCTCACAGCTGTTAGGATGTCTATCATTAAAGAGACAAGATATAACAAAGGTTGGTAAGGATGTGGAATAAAAGGAATACTTATAGCATTGTTGGTGGAAGTATAAGTTGGTTCAGCCACTGTGGAAAACAGTATGGAGGTTCCTCCAAAAATTAAAAATAGAACTATCATATGATTCAATCCTATTTCAAATGGGTATACAGCCAAAGGAAATAAAATCATTACCTCAAAGAAATATCTGTACTCCCATGCTCATAGCGGCAGTATTCACACTAACCAAGGTATGGAAGCAACCTAAGTGTCTGATGACAGATAAATGGATTGAGAAAATGTGAAACACAAACACATGCACATATACAGGAATATGTTTTAGCCTTAAAAAAAGGAAGGAAAGCCCTGTCACTTGTGACAATTTAAATCAATCTGGAGGGCATTATGCTAAGTCAAAGAAAAGACAGCAAAAGACAAATACTAGATGGTATCACTTATATGTGGAATCTTAAAAAAAACTTTTTAAAAATCTTTTAAAAAGCAAACAAAAACAAACAAACAAACAAACAAACAAAAGGGGCACCTGGGTGGCTCAGTCGGTTAAGCATCTGCCTTTGGCTCAGATCATGATCCCAGGGTCCTGGGATAGAGTCCCCCATTGAGGGGGGGGTCTATACTCAGCAGGGAGTCTGCCTTTCCCTCTGCCCCTCCTTCCACTCATTCTCTCAATCTCTCTCTCTCTCTCTCTCTCAAATAAATAAAAAAAATGGGGTGAGCCTGGTGGTGGGGATTATGGAGGGCACTATTGCATGGTGCACTGGGTGTGGTGCATAAACAATGAATTTTGGAACACTGAAAAAAATTTAATTAAATTAAATTTTAAAAATACACAGACCACAAAAAAAAAAGAAAGAAAAGAACATATTAAATAAATAAATAAATAAATAAATAAATAAAATCTTTTTTAAAAAAATTAACTCATAGAAACAAAATATGGTGGTGCCTTCCAGGGCCCGAGGGTAAGGGGAAATGGGGAGAATTGGTACAAGGATATAAACTTTCAATTATAAGATGAATAAAGTCTGTGGATCTAATGTATAACATGGTAACTATAATTGATCATACTATATTGTGTAACTGAATTTGTTAAGGGAGTAGGAATTAAGTGTTCTCACCAGAACAAACAAACAAAGATAAATATGTGAGGTCATGGATGTGTTAACTAATTGGATTATAGGTTAGAATTCATTCACAATGTGTACATATATTAAATCATCACATGGTATACTTTAAATATATTATAGTTGCTCCCTTTGAGGGAAGGGGGACTCCGACATCAAGAAGAATATTACTC